AGACGAGAAAAAGTGGGAACAAACCCCCCCCCCCCCAAAAAAAAATAAATAAAAAAAAAACATATCATAGTAAAACCAAAAACATAATATTTGAGAAAAATTTTAAATCAAAGGAATTGTAATAATACAAATATACAATTTATAAAATTTAACACATTGGAATCGAGGCGTTCCTTATGGTATTGATATTAATTACTGTTACATTTCATCTATACTTTGAAGTCCCAACTTTGCCATGTTCCGACTGTGCCTCGACATCACTATGATGGGTATATTTTACATATGAGTATTGTATATATTTAATAATTAGTAATTTAGTATCCCGGATATGTTTATGAGAAATTAAAAAATTTATAAAAAAAATATTAAAATCATGTTTACATTTCCTTAGAATTACTTATTATTATTAAATATTACATTAATTTCAGATTATATGTAATTTTGTTATACGTTGCAACTGAGGACTTAATAAGGCCTTATTACGGAAAATAATTTCATAGTTAAAATTCTATAAAATTTCATTAACAAAATGATCCATTTAGAAGTCTTAGATATTTCTCAGAGTTCTATTTGATCATTAGTCAACTATAAGTTAATATCGAACAGGGTTACAAAATACAGAATGATCAGTTTTATCATATATGTAATTATTCTATTTGCTATAAATACATTTTGAGCTACTTGTCAAGAAAAATAAAGATTCCATCTTTATTCCATAACCCTCAAATCAATATCAACTTTATTTTTTCAAATATCAACCCAGTTTTTTAGCTTCGATGCGAAGCTGAGAAGATATTTTTTACTATGATGTGTTTTTTTATATATTTTTTTGTGTCTGTGAGCGCTCAATCTTAGCTCTATCTGGACCGATTTTGATGAACAATATATCAAAAGATTACAAATCGTATCTAATCGAAGACGTTACTCTTAAAATTAAAAATTTTTCCCTCGTTCTTCGTAAATGATGAAAATCCCCCAAAAAATTACAAATTTAAATATAGGTAATTTTAGACATTTTTCCAATTTATATTATAAATAAATAATTTAAATATTTATTTATTTTTTATATTTTTATTTCATATTTTGTCAATTTTTAGTGTATTCTTAGATGCGTATATTTATGTTTTTTTATTGCATAAACTTAAGAATTTATTTTTGGTAATTATTGGATATTATTTTAATAGTGGCCTAAACCATAGTTTAATTTTTTAGCATTTGTTGTGATAAAACCTTGAACTGTATATCCATAACTTAAGAAAATCTATGTATACAATTTTTATAAAAAGAAGTATTAGAAAGGGAGAAGTTAGATAAAATAAGTCCCCGCCCCTCAAATTTTGTTAAAACTACATCTTCTTAATCGATTTTTTACATAAAATATAAAAAATGTGTTCCAGTTAATTTTGCACAGTCCAGTTAATGTTCCAAATATGATTTTACCCACTGCTTACATATTTAGAGATGAAGCGTTATATGTATCTACAGTAGTTAGTGCTTGGCCAACATCACAGGGGATTTCAAACTGGAAACCAAGACAACGAAAGTGTTATTTTCAACATGAAAAGAAATTGAAGTATTTCAAAATTTATACTGAAAATAATTGCGATGTTGAGTGTAGAGCTAATATCTCAATAAAGAAATGCGGTTGTAGTGCATTTTATCATCCACGTAAGATAATTACAAATTTTCAGTAAACATTTTTGTTACTTAATGATTCAGATTTTTAAAACTTTGAGTTATTAGTATATTATATAATTAATATATATAATTTTATTAATAGATTTATTTTTAGATAAATAATATTTTGATAAATACATAATAATATAGATGAAAGATGTTTAAATTCTGAAATATAAAAGAGAAATATGTTTTACAAAAATTGCCTTTCTTACATTCAACTTTTTACACAAAATAGTAATTACAAATGTATCATAAATATTTAAACTTTTTTATTCGCCGTGATTTAACAGGGTAACATAATAATAATTTTGTTTATACATTTTTCAAGCATAGTTGAAATCACTATGACAAATATTATTGGGTTATGGTGTATAATACGATAAATAATAATCATTGTTCTATATTCTATTATCCAGTTGAGATTACAAACAAAACCTATAGTTTTATAAATGATATAAAATATTTTAGTAATTGAGAGATAAAAACAAAAAGTTGCTATGCTGAACGTTGCGTGCTTCAGCTCCCGTATACTCTTCTTAAATCCACCAGTGGTTAAAATTATTTTGTAACTGTAACATATTAGTAGAGTTATACTTTAACAGATAAATTAGCTGAACACCTTGTTTTACATAATTTACTAAAATTGCAATAAATAATATGTAATGCCTCAATAATAATAATAAACATTCCCAATAGTAAACTACTGGGAATGTTCCTGATAGACCGTTGAATTAGTCAGATTCTACAACTGTCTTATTCAGATATACCATAAATTCACATATATCACTGTAATTTTGTATTTTGGTTTAGCAAAGAATAGAAATTAATCTTGTCTTTAGATTATTTTGTAAAATTTTTTTTTAATCTAGGAGAAAAAGATACGCCTTTCTGTGGTAAAGAAAATTATGGATGCATGGAGAGTTCTTCAGGTATTTTTAATTTACTCGTACATTTTTATTGACATTACATATCAAAGAATGTTTAGTTCTCTTAGTTTTAATAAAAATAAATAAAATAAAATGGATATACGTAAGGTTATTCAAAATCAAGTTATTAATTAATATTTTCAAAAATTTTATGCAATCTAATAAAAAATAATCAATCTAATATTTATTAGATCTTTTTTAAATTATTTATATTATAATATACAGAGTGATCGGCTAACTATATCTCACGCAATATCTTAAAAATACAAGTGTTATAAACAATTTTTTTTTTTAAATCATTATGGATCTTTGATGAGCTGTTTCACAAGAAATATTAAATTTCTGTTATCATCCCTTATACTTAGAACTTGTATAAACTTCAGATTTTCAAATGGCAACCCATCGAGATATTTCGATTATTGAAATCATATCTCTTATATAATCGAGATATTCTGATTTTTTAAATAATATTGATTATTCTATAATCAAGTGATTATTTTTAATGATTTCTCGTTTATTATGAAAACAATGATTTCTTGATCTTGAAATGTATATAATCGAATAAAAGTTAATTCGAATGATGTCTATGAAACGATGAAACGAGAGAATACTATTTTTAAGTTTTTATTTAGCATAAATTATAGTCGAATTATTATTAAATTATTGACTTCGAGTCTTCTTATTTTCAACTCGTTCAATCGCTACTCATGGCAACACCTTATCTGTCACATTTTTGGGAAGTATGTGACGATTAGAACAAAGTTTTGTCCTGAACTGGCTAAACTACTGAGTTCTGATTCTCTCACTAGTTGTGAATTTATGAAAAATCAATTAGGTGTGGAATTAGGTGTTTTAATTATGATGGTCAAGCCGACTAATTGCTACCTTATCTTATGTTTTTATTTTTAAATTTGTTATCGGTTTTTTTTCGTCATTTCTACGGTCTAACTCGGTTGTATTATGTTATAGTTATAAATAAATACAGATAATACGATGTATGTTTATAAATGAGACAATATACATATTTATTATTAAAAGATAAAGAAAGCATAACAGGTAGATTTTTTTATAATTCAGAATTTACAGTATTTTAGACCAACAGATTAATTAAAAATATACAGGGTGTTCAGTAAGTCAGGAAACGGGTTTCTATTGTTCTCATTGTGACAAACAATGAGAACAATAGAAACCCGTTTCCAGACTTACTGAACACTCTGTAGATAATAATTATTAAATTAAAAAAATAACAACTTGTCTTTTATTTAAAGCACTTATTAATAATGCATTATTAATATATTATTGTTATTATTATTCCTAAATTATAGTTTAATATAATAATTATAAATAAACACCAACAAATAAAAAAAGCAAAATATAATTAATAATTATTTACTATAGGTATATTTATTCATATTTCGAATAATTTTTCGATTCTTTCGATAAATAATAATAGTTGATTATTCTTATCATACGAGCAGACGATTTTAACTTCGAGTGATTTTTCGAGAGATTCATTCGATTATGAAAATGTCTCGATTACTAATCATTCGATTATGCCCATCACTAGTTGTGTTCAGTTAGGTATCCAAAAGAAAATCAAAATATTATCTATAGTTGATGCCTCGCACAGATATATATATAATCTAATTATATATATCTGTGATGCCTCCAGACAAACAACGGGACAAGCGCTTATAACGAACAATATACAATATAATATTCCATAAATTCTTGGAATATCAATGGCATCATTGATGTTCCACGATTTAAATTGAATTTAACTCACATTGCACAAATGTCGTTCAGTATCTACTATCTAGTATTTATTAATGAAGAATAATGGAATACACAATTTTAATAAAGCAACCGATCTCAAATAAATGAAAAAAATATAAAAATACGGGTGTGTAGTTAGTAATTTATTTAAACCTATAGGTAAATATATTAATATATATATATTTTTTTTTTATCGTCACTTTTAAAACGTAATTGGTAGAAAATCAAAGTACCATCTGATTTTTTGGTGAGAAGTTTAAAAAATTTCGAGGGGGATCCAGACCCCATGGACCCACCTCCTGACTACGTGCCTGATAAGCACAAAAAACCATGTTGAAAACATCGTTTTTAAAATACGGAAACCATTGATTTTTTTCAAGTGTTATTTGTGGTGTTAGACTAATTATATTTATTTATTTACATTAATTATAATTAATGTACGTAGGTTATTCAATATTTGATAAAAATTTCCCGGAGAGTTTCAAAGATGAATGCGACTGTTTACCAGACTGCAATGAAGTTAGATATGAGTTTAAAGTTGTTGAACTATACAAAAATAATACACCGACTGAGAAAAAATCGTTGGTACATTATATTTAAGTATCATATAATTATTATAACTTTTACATAATTTAACTTTATTTCAAATAGAAATAAGGACTCCTTTGCTTTATCAATTTATTTTGATAGATCATACGTAATAAGTATCGAAAAAACTGCATTATTGTCATTTAATGAATTACTATGTAAGTGATAGAAGATTATGCTTTTTGACATTGTAACTATAATATTTTATTTTTTTTAGGTCATACGGGTGGATTTTTGGGATTGTTTCTTGGGTGCAGCATTATAAGTGTGTTTGAACTAATTTATTTCATTATACGAATATTAATCGATGAAATGAATCAAAAAAGATTAATGCAAAGTAAAATTGACGATAATAGTGAATCTGTCGTCATTACTGATATTAATGTAGACGATTAGTTAATTAATTTTGTATAATGGTATTTTACAACTAGTTTTAAATAATACATAACTTTGTTTCATTTGCTTTAAGAAAAATATATTTTATCTAATTGTTAATATTTTTAGTCATAAATATTAGATAATTTATTTCAAATTAATGGTAAACATAACTATGGCTTAGTCTATATTCTTATGGTATTTGAACTTAACGAAGTGCATACAATTTATTCCTTAACTTACTTGAAACTGCTCTAAATTATTTAATAAAGGTATTTTTTAAGAAGCATTATGAATGAGTACTGCTTTCTTAAATAGTAATTTCAAAATTCTAATATTAAAAAAAATTATATGAGTGACATATATTTTCATGATATACAAACACTTAAATTTAAGAAAAATGATTGTCTAAAAAAAAAAAAACAACAATATAATTATAATACCTAAACATAATACGAAATTTGAAAAAAGAAACCCGTTAATGTGGTCAATATCTTGTCAATTAAATTAAATATTTAAATTATATATTAAATTTTATTTAATAGTCATATAATTTATAAAAAAATAAATTATCATCTTAAAAAAAATTTAAGTATACTTTAATTATATTAGTATTTAATAAAAGTTAAAAAGTTAATAATTGTTATTAGTTATTTGTAGTTTAAAAAATATTCAAATTTCATAATATAATAAAAATTATTAAATCCATATTCATACTATAATTCAACACTATTAATAGTTTGAAATTTATTTAAATTTCATTAATTGTTGTATATTTTTAGCTTCAATGCGAAGCTGAGAAGGTTTTGTTTTTACTATGATGTGTTTTTTGTGTCTATTACCACTTTTTCTCAGCTCTCTCCAAATCGATATTTTTCAACATACCTCAAAAGATCACAAATCGTATCTAGACGAAAAATTTACCCTCAAAAATTGAAAAAAATCTCATCGTTCCTCGGAAATGGGGGAAACCTAATTGTAGATTCAAAATAGGTTTAGAAAAGTATAATTAGATTTCTGATAAAAATTCCTTGTAAACCAGTAAATTTAATTAAAAGTAACAAATAGTTTTTTTTTGTAAAGTATTGCATGAAGCCCTTGAACTTTTATACACGTTTGCCATAAAAGTAATATCTACTTTTTATATTTTTATAATTTCTGAGTCAAAATTATAATACTAAATAATTAAATATGATAGTCTTATGGCTATCATAAGAAACGATTTTAATCACTGTCAGATATCATCTATAATTGTACCCACAATGTTACATCCACACTGTGCTACCGTTTTTACAGTAAAAATGTTTTATATACATATATGTATATATATATATCGTATGTTATAGCCTAACGGTGTTTTCAAAGTAAAATGAGATCATTTTCAAGAAAAAATAATTTATTAAATTTTAATAAAAGTTTATACATAAATAAATAATTATTAAATAAGTATACATTATAATAAATATATATAATATTAATAATAGGAAACCAGTAACACAGCTTTATCGTGTTTTTAATTATATAAATTTTGGTCTAGGGCTTTATAGTGTCCAACTTAAAAATTACAACAAAATTTTAAATTTTAAAACTTACAATTTTGTACTTATTTAAAGAGTAGAAAATAATAATCATAAACAAATTATTCAAGAATTTTGTGACTGTTGTGATGTGGTGGGTTGTTTTTCTGTACTACTTGAAGTTTCCAATGAGTTAATAGATTGGTTAAAATTTACGCCCATGACACTAGCCAACCATGTAACTCCTTGGACAGCAGTTTCGCCAAATACTTGCATTAATTCTTCTTCACTAGAATCTCCACCTTCTTCTTCTTCGGTCTCTTCAGATCCAGATTCTCCGTTTGTACTGTTTGAAAGCGTCTCAGGCTCTTCTATACTATTAAGAGTAAGTAAGATAAATCATTAAATTATTTAAAATACGTACATTGGACTAAACTTATTTTTAAAATCAAAGTGTTGGTGTTATACTTGTAATGCATTATTAAGAAAATAAGTATAATGATTGCGAACAAAAATTGTATTAAGTAAAATTAAAACTATATTAAAAATATTATTAATTTAAAAACTAAAAAATATTAAACTCAAAAGTCAAAAAAAAATTACTGAAAAGTCGCGGATACGTATTTTGGAAACAATGTTACCATTATCAACGCTAAACACATACGTATGTATTTATTGTGTTTTTTAAGTATGTGTTTAGCGTTGATAATGGTAACATTGTTTCCGAAATACGTATCCGCGACTTTTCAGTAATTTTTTTTGATTTTTGAGTTTAATATTTTTTAGTTTTTAAATTAATAATATTTTTAATATAGTTTTAATTTTACTTAATTAATTAGCCACAAGTGATCAATTTTTATTTAAAAAATTGTATTGATAATGATAAGTTTTGATAGCTCATTGGCATGCACAAATGGCAGCAAATGAACTGGAGGGATAATGCACATTGCAATAAACCAGTGTTTTTTTTGTTTAGAAAAAGAAGTATAACATAGTTATTAACATAAATACAGAGTGCTCAGTAAGTAAGGAAACAGGTCAGTTGTAACAATGAAAACAATAGAAACCCGTTTTCTTACTTAATAAACACTCTATATATGTAAAAGCAAAAATAATTTAAAAATTGTTCCTTTTTAGGAATTCAAAATAACAATTTTTAACACATGTTGCAAACCAATCCCTTACAACTCATTAATAACGCACATACCATGGTTTCTATCACAAATAATTATATAGCATCTCAAGAATTTTACTAGTCATCGCTGTAGGCCATTCAACAAAGAAAAAATGGCGGAAAAAATTCCCAACCAAATTTTTTTTTAAAAAAAAGTTGAATTAAGATATGTATAATGACATACTAAAAGTCCTCATTGATTGGACTTGAGCTTTTTTTTTTACAGCCTAGCAAAAGTTCAAAAATGCGATAAAAGATTTCCAATGAGGCTAAAAGGTAAATTCTACAACAATGTATTGAGACTAGCTATGATGTATGGTTCAGAGTGTTGGGTGGTTGATAAGAAAGTAGAGCAGAGAATCAGTGTAGCAGAGATGAAAATGCTTAGTTGGATGAGTGGAGTGACTAGAAAAGATAGAATAAGGAACGAGCATATAAGAATGTAAGTGTAGCGTCAATCGTGTATAAGATGAGAGAAAATAGACTTAAANAGGAAGTATAGGTGTTGCGTCAATCGTGGATAAGATGACAGAAAATAGACTTAGATTGTTTAGTCATGGTATGAGGAAAGAAGAATCGAAAGCTGTAAGAACAGTTATAGAAATGAATGTTGAAGGAAGAAGAGGTAGAGGAAGACCAAAAAAGAGATGGAGGGATGCTATTGAATGCGATTTGAGGACAGTTGATGTGAGCGTAAAAGATGTGGGAGATCGTGTCAAGTGGAAGTTTAGGATGAGGGTGGCCGACCCCAAGTAGTTGGGATTAAGGCAAAGAAAAAGAAAAAGATTAGCAGAAATTTCGGTGACAATCGACATAATATATTTGTTGTTTGGGAATGTACAATATAGCGTTTAGTTGGGTTAAAACAATATAGCATCAAATCAATTACTTACTCTATCGGTTGTATCTTAATATGCACTATACTTTAATGATACTATAAATAAATAAACTCACACATACACACATATGCATTTATAACATTGTGTCTAATGTAAGTATAACATGATAAAAAGTAACCGTAAAATGAAAAAAATTGGAAAATAAATGTTAGTACTCATATTAAATGTAATGTAACTCGAAAAATATTTGTTTAAATGAAAAAACATAAGATAATTTTTTTGTTTAGAATTGTTTTTTAAACAACTTTTGTACGAAACTTTTTTTTGTAAGTTAAATATTTTTTGAGAAAAATAAAAAAGCTCATATTTTTTAACTTTTGCGAGGCTGTAAAAAAAAAGCTTAAGTCCAATCGATGAGGACTTTTAGTATGTCATTATACATATCTTAATTCAACTTTTTTTAAAAAAAAAAATTTGGTTGGGAACTTTTTCCACCATTCGCCAAAATTACTCCTTCGTTGACTGGCCTACTGGTTTACTATCCCAGTATATAAAAAGGCCATTTTTTCTAAAAGACAATCATCACGCGATTGTTTTTGCATGGAAGCATTTTTTGATGTTCTTGGTCGACTTTTTCTTACAGGGACTCTGCGTCAATATAAGTAAATATTTTGTCCCTACTACTTAGTTTTTTTCTCATATTGCCCTAAATAGTGAACATTATTTTTAGACAATTTAAAATATTTTACCCAAAAATCAGTATTATTTATTTTTATTTTTACCTAATATTCATATAAGATATGAATGTTTTTTTATTATATTTAATAATTTCAAATATTTTTAAATATATTACTTTATGCCCATGTACTCGCCAGAAGTCGTAAGGCTATGTCCTACCCTTTTGGTAACAAAAAAGCAGTTGGTGTAAAGGATTTCAAGATGTGTATTGTAATATTATTTAATATATATTAACGAGGTTAACTGTTTTCCGCCAGTCAAGGCTAACGCTAATAATCGCTGGGCCACCACAATCTTGTTGATTATATTTTGAGTACAGATAATTCTTATAATTTTATTTTGATAATTTCAGAGTGAGTTAAGAGTATTGATATCGACTAAAGGGAATTTATTGAAAATATTATTAGCAAAGTCGAGTGTTATATGAAAAGAGTTTGAAAAATATAAATAGAATAACAAATTATAATAGACGCAGGTCGCATCATAAAGAATCCTCTTTAAATGAGTATTTTATGAACAACGTACATAGTCGTGTAATAAAAGGGCGTATTGATGATTAAGATCTAATAAACACATAAATCTAATTAATCGAAATAAATGCAAGATCCTACAAACGATTGTTAACACTGAACCGAAAAGTTACTATAAGATTAAAAACGAATATTTATTTGCATGTTTTACTCTTTAAAAATACACATAATAAACAAAAAATAAAAAGAGACAAGACAAGAATAGATATTTTGGGTTCTTTTAAATTATTTTTTTGTTTATTACACGTAATAAAAATGATAGTCCTATGCAATTTATTGTATGTGAATATTTGTAACACTATAATAATCATTTTATTATTAAAATAAAAAAAATGTGAAATATCGAGTAAGTGATATAAAAATTTTAAGTTTTTAAAAAATCTCTAAGTCAAAAACATATAAAAAAAAATTATTATTAAAATAAAAATGTAGAGGATTACGAATTTTTAATGCATAATTCTCCTTCATATTGGATTAAGTAATTAGTAATCACTTAATTATTAATTAATTACCTGTAATCTCGGATTACAGGTAAATTTTAAAATTCGGAAAGAGGGTTGATCGAAAGTATAAAGTATTGTTTCCTAAAAATTTCTATGACGCTATAAATTATCACACAGATATATTTGGAATTGTGTTTAATGATCCAAATAAAAAACACGAAAATATATCTTCATGCATTTGTTAATAATAGGGTAACATTATCAGTGAATGAATACTTAGGGGAAATAAGGGTAATACCACCCACTTAAGGAAAATTGGCTGTAAATTTTATAATACTCGACACAAAGAAATTAATTTTATTTTGAAATATATGCTAAGTAGCCAACTATTAATTTTTAATTACGTAGAAAAATTTAAATAATGTAATATAAAATGACAAGATATTTTTCATAAAATCAATTTTGAGTAGAATTATTTTTATATGAGGGGATCATAAGAGTTTTTCATATTTTTAAGTTCTTTTTTTATTTATATTTTAATAATTCACTCGTGGAATTATTACATATATTTTTTAGAAAATTTTCTGTTATAATGTTTAAATATTTAATATCAACTAACTAAAAAATTGTAATTGTTATTTTATATTGAAAATCAGAATATTTCAATAAATAATATTATATCAAAACTTTGATATGAAATTAAGAATTAATTTAGATATTTTCCTTGTTAAAAAAACTAGGTACAAACTACAACTTGTCTTAATGAGATTACATAATTTATTAGTCAAAAACTATGTGGTGTTGTTTATTCACCAAGGATTTTACCCAACATATTTTCCTTTTTGATAAAAATACTTTACTAAAACTCTGATAGTATAAATCTCAGCTGAGAGTATTAGAATTTCTTTAAGTGTGCGTCATTAATCAGCGTTCTTTTATGTGTCAAAATTAAATTTTTAGGTAAAAATAATTGATAAGTAAACCTATTACTTATGGCTAATTTAACTTGTTTTTTTATACGTTAATTTTATTTTTTTCAATTTAAAATAAAAGAAATTTTAAATGCATGGTTGCTGCGTTCAAATTGTATCTTTACTCAGAGTTGTGATGATCATGGAAAGTATATCAAAAGAAAGTTAAATGTTTCTATTAATAATTATATTGCTAAGCAAGGAGACTCACGTAGAGTTAAATATTAATCGCTGCTGGTCTAATTTGTAACATCCCATAGAAATAGAGTTTTGCACCTCATTTAACAATGTTGCTTCTAATTTCAAACATCCATCATAGTTTTTAAGTGTAGTTAAATTGCCAATAAATCGAGCACATAACTGTCCAAATCCAGCTAATACATCCATACACACTGGTTCTGGATTATCACCTGAAAATGTTATTTAAATTGAAAATTCTAAGAATATCGCAAAAAATCTTAAGTAAATCTGTGTCTCAAGACTTTTATACAATTTATAAGATGATATATACATTATATTACATTTCTATTGATTTGTTTATTCATAAAATTAGAAAATGCGAACAATATTACTAGAAATCCTAAAAATGATGATATGATAAAGTCAATTGTTATTCAATAAAACAATAGAAGGAACCAAAAAAAATGAAAGTATTTGGGTGACAGAAATCTAGAGCATTTTCTTGTTAAAAAACACATTGAAATTCGTGGTAACTATAATTTATTTTATCAAGACTTTTTTTTTGTTCCCACGGTTGATTACAATAATTCAATTTCTAAAAATGATAAACTAAAAATAATTAACAATTTAAAAAAATCGTATTTGCAAAATAAGGCGTTTAAATATATATATTCTTAAAAAACTAGAAAAATATACTAATATTTCACCAGTCCATAGTAAAATTAATAGTTTATTTCATTGATACATTTTTAAAGATAATTTAAAATTATGTCTAAATATTGGGTTGCTCAAGTTCAACATTGTCCCATGTATATTTTCCATCTCTGCGAAGAACCATATTTTTTTTTATTAAAAATTGCATTTTATTGATTGAGTATAAAGTATAATTGAAAAGTATGGGCAATTAAAATTAAGTCTTTTAATTTATTTAATAGAAAATAATATGGAATGTATGAAATCATAACCAATTTGATAGTTTTTTCGAATATCGATCGCTAGGGCTAGTGCAGATATTGACTAACTTTTTTTGTGATCATTTAGGTTATTACTGTCATTAAATGTATTCATAATGATAGTTATTTTATAAAGAATGTTTATGTCAGAAATTCACAACATTATTAAAAAATATTTTAATTTTTGTACTAACATAAATAATAAAAATTTATTTTTAAAACGATACAAATTCTATTAATTTAGATGCTATTGTTCTCAAACGAGTCTTGTACAAATTTTTTATAATTAATTATTTTGTAATTAAATAGAATGGAATAACTTTTTTCATTTTTACCTCTTTTGTAAAATGTATTTTTTTAAACTATTCTTAACGATATACGATATATTAGTTATTCGGAAAAAGCTTATTGTAAAAATGTTTAAGGTGACATTAAACTATGATTATTTGAATCGGGAAGAGACCTGAGTTTTATTACTTGACTGATACTTGATTAAGCAAAAAAAATATGCCTGTGACTCGATACCGATTTTGCTCTTTTAATTAACTAGTTTATAGATTTAATGTTATTTAATAACGATATGTTACTATTATTTATATTATATTATATTTCGAGAATTAAACATTAAAAGTTTACGTGGTACTTTATCTTTTTCATTATTTTTATTATTGGCAATAGTTCATGACTTTTTCGGGGTATATATTGTTATAGACATTGTAATATAATTCATGTATTATATAAAAAACAAAAGCCATTTTATTATTTCATTATATATGTTACATATTAAATAAAAAAATCACGAGTGATAATTAAATTTTTCATCCGGAGAGGGTATATCTCACCTTTTACTTACACTACTGTGTTATACTTATCAATAAAATTATGATTTTATTATGTAATTGAAATATTGATGAATAATCTAAATTTATATTATTCATCTATTTTTCAATTATATTAAATAAGAAATTACGCAATTACTATCGTAATAAAATAAATTAAAAATTGTATGAAAATAAATCTTATAATGTATCAAAGTTTATTAGTTTTTTGACTAATATTTTTGCTCGAGAATAGTTATAAAATGATCTAGTGTTATGCTTATTATTTAACTAATATTTTTTCATTAATTATAAAGAATAATATATAATTTCAAGTGTAGATAAAATAGTTAAGTAAATGAAAATTCCGCCTCTAAAGAGATAACATATATATTTTTCGAACTGTTTTTTTTATTCAACAGGAACAGTTAATTTAATTCAGTTTCAAATAAACTAAATGAATCACATTCAATTTATATCTTGCTATTATGGACACTCGGTTTTCAGACGTACTCTACATTAGTTTTATTGCAATTTCGTGCACAATTAATGGCCGTGGGCAAAATAAATGTATTTTTAATGTAGCCTGGATGTTTACGACTTACCTTTAATGACACCATTTTGGATATTTCCTTTGCCATAAGTCACGTTTACAGCAAACGATTCAATATCCGGCACGTACTTGAACTTGACGCATCCTGTTAAAACAAATCATAGCGGATCAATTAAAATTCATCGATCATAATTATAGTTAATTTCTCGTGAATCTTATTTTTCGATTTCTTACCTGGAGACGTAGTCAAGTCCAAAAGCGGTAAGCTCATTTTCAAACAACACACGCATGATTTCATCTCTGGACTTTGACACTCGCAACGTTTTTCTGGAACTTGTTTTGTTTCGCCAGTCAATCCACTTCTTTGTTGAAAAACATTTTCTAGCCCAGTCCAAAGTATGTCTAAAAAATAATTGTAAATATTTTTCTTTTCAAAATAAAATTAAGGTTTTATATTTTGTTTACCCGTCACTGAAGTGGATGGTGGAACTTTAGCTGTCAATGCGAATGACGTGGAGAGCATCACACACAACCACGTTAGATGAGACATGACTAGGTTTTGTCGTCAATGTTACTAAAGGTTAGATAATATTTAAAAAAATAAATAAATAACAGAAATAAAACACACCGAACGTCGAACGCACGTCGGTCGTCGCTGTTGCGGGTCGTAAAGAACACGACGGTGGTAGATAAACGATACTGCACACGGACAGTCACAACAGCAACGGGTCAACGGGTCACCCACTTGCAGCCCCCACCCGACCAGTACTTTCTTTTCAAGTACAGTGCCCGCTAATACTGTACACCATTAGCCACTGCACGTATACTTACGCACGCGTCAATGGTATACGACAACATAAACAACAACAACAACAACAATAGACATTTCGGTGCACCGACAGACAATTTCGCTTTCTCGAAACCATCGCCCGCGCATACTACACTTCGCTTTCTACGTAAATAATTAGACTTTCCCAATACATTGAATTTTTTAAGATTTTTTTTTAACCTATTTGAAAAACTTGCGTTGGGTATTTGTAGACGTTTAGAATTTGTTCGATTTGAACTTGAGGTGAGTAACCTCTCTCTCGCGGTAGATCGAAAATAAATAATTTAAGTAGTTAAGCGTGAAATTAATTATTATTATTATCGAAACAACTGAAACGTGATGGATTAAGTGTTCAATTTTTAGACGTCGTTCGCTAAATTATCTTTACGCGGAACTGTTGTTAATATGACAAAATATGTGAGCTTAAATATATGTTGCATGCATCTATTACTAAGCTACTGGGAATGGTCACAACATTTCAATTGTTTTTTAGAATCATCAAAGTGAAGGAAGAAGATCCGAGAACGGTAGTTTGGAAAGGAAAATCTTACCGGAACGAGAGTGGGCTCCTGAAACATTTTTTAGTGGGGAATCCGTGGCGTACGTCGGGTCTTTGGCCAAGCAACGTCGGATGACACACATACCTGACCCGGTTTTGTTAGCCCGGAACAAGCACAGCAGCTGCGGTAATTCCGCCGCGCTGGTCGCAGTGCAGTTCTTACCACGAGAGACGAGTTTAAGACGGTTTTTGTTGTCCGACATAAACTTACAAAGTATATTGATCGCCCGGAACACAAAGGTACGTACCATTTTAATTGTTATTATTGTATTCATAGAATACTTTAGATCGATAAGATCTATTTTAGGGTAAACATAAAGTTGAAATAATTTTGGTTAGCAAAATTGACAATTTAACAACTCGTTATAGAGAAAGCAGTTTCAGATAGAACTTTAGAAAGTTTAATGTTGAATTTTTTACTAAACGCAAATATTTTTCGTACGGAAATATAATATCAATTTTATATTATTTGAAAATTGTTTTTTCAAATGTGTAAATCGACTTGACACTGGTATAATCAATTTCAGTAATTTACTAAGTAATATTATATAATGATTAACATAAAATGTCTAAATAGAGATTATTGATTTTAAAGTAAATGATTTTTATGTCATTATCATTTCATTCTGAACAACTGGTTTGGTTAGTTATCGTACTAGTACAACCTTATTTCTATATAAATGAGTACATTTGTTCTTTTAATTGTCGATCGTACTTATTTATCCTGTTTCAATAATTAGCTCCTTCGGGCAAGCATATCACATAAATGGTAACATCCGGTTTTAAGTATAACGTGATGAATATCTACAGTTACAAAACAAATTCAGTGATAATGTTGTTTGGCACAAAAGAAATAAAACAATTATTTAATAGAAAAACTAAACTGAAACGGTTATAACCATTTCGGAAAAGACCATCAGGAAAGCAATTCGATCGTAAAAAGGTGTTAAATTTATGGTTTCTCTCTGTTTTTTTATTTTTAATGTCTTGTGAAAATTAGACTTACAATACGATTAAAATAATCAACTAGTTGTTATTTGTTATTCGTTAAATCTCATGAATTTGTTGTATAATTGTATTTCCTTATGGTAATGTATTTAAAAAGCTCGTTTTTAAAATAAGTTTGAATATTGAGATTTATCCTGTCACTGATATCACATGTTTAGTAATTTAAGCATACTCTTGCAGCCTGAGAAAAACATGCCTTAGGCCACAGACGAAGGATTTCTCTTTTTACACACAAGGTCAATGTCACTTATATCCTATACGTGTAAACCTTTCACCAATTTTATTACATATATTATTAGAATTATTGTTATTTTCTAGTAAAGAAATTTCTTATTAATTTTTTTGATTACATAAACATTTATGTTACAGTTTTCTAATTATTGGAAAGAAATAAACTTTTAAAATGCGACTTTCGGTCGTATTCGAACTTTTGTTGATCTTTTTGATCATAGCATTTGCGGCTTACGGTAGAGTAGGTGAGTTGTAGCCAAAATTAAAATTTTTCTCTATTGTTTTATTGATAACAATAATCTGTCTATTTTTTTTTACAGTTCCAGACAATAAAGATGTTTGGAGAACTAGTTTAAACAATGTAAAAGAACATTTAAAAATGATGGGTCAAGCTCGACAAGCGCCAGCCGTTCCAAATCGTTATTGTGCTTGTTCTGATCTTATGTGTAATTGCTGCAGAGATTTTTCGTTACCCGTAGTTCCAATTAAAGGACCAGGTATACAATCGCCTTTTATTGTCATATTAGTTTTTTTATTTGATTCAATAAAAATAAAGTCATTATTTTTAACTAAATTTTTAAACTAGTCATATAATATAAATTAACTTTAATACTGAAAAAAGATAGGTTTTGTTTGATCACTAAATATCATTAAAATTTAAAAAATTATTATTTTGGAAAATTGATTTATATTATATCATTGAGGTATTTACGTATGTATATTTTAACTGTCTGTCCAAAATTACATGGAACTTTGTTAGTCATAGGAGAATGTGTCATTGATTCTTGTTACAGGTTGCGCGACTCTTAAGTATTTGAAAGGTGATAAAATGGCAGTGACGATGAGCTTCGGTGACAGAGTATTACGTAATACTACTATATCCGGGAGAAAGCCTAAACCCGTGTGTATGAACCTGCCTGGTGGTGTTTCAAAGTTTTGCGGTCGAGTTTACGGGATATCACGCGACGGGGATCAATTTAGAGCTTGTTTGGGACTTGAATTGAGGGCTTTGGACGACGTCGAGGCAGCATTGAGAGTATCATGTTTCCGTTTTGGACCTCAAGGAATGAAGGTAGAGCCCGGCCAACCGTTACCTTCGTTGGCTCAAGGTGAGGATGAAGACGACGAAGATGACGACGAAGATGACGACGATGATGACGATGACGATGACTACGGTTTGGGTGCTGCCGACGAAGAAGAAGATGATGATGATGATGTGGCTGAAGAAGAATCCGAAAATGACGTAGACTCGACTGGTTATACTGGATTCAGCGCTTTAAGTTCAGACTTTTTAAGTAGCTTGTTTGGAGGTGGTGCCGCAGCAGCAGAAGAAGATGATGTAGTGGAAAATGTAAAACCTTCTACAGTTAAGCCTGTTACCGTCAAAACTAAAGCAACAACAGCAGCTTATTCGACTAGTCAACAAACTGAAAAACAAGTGAGTGTTGAGTCTGTTACATCAACTTCATACACCGTTAGCGTTGTACAAGATTCAGATACGTCTACTTTAGCGTCACTAGATGAAAACCCCACAGATCGTGTCGAAACGATTCCTAATAGTGTTCAAGTATCTGCGTCCACATCGGCAACTACAAATAAAAAGGATAAAGACTATGATGATGACGAGGATGATGACGATGAAGATGACGACGACATAGTGTCAGATATTATTGATTCGGCCGCTGACGTTGTTGGTATTTCCGATACCGAAAAAAACCAAACCACTAGCACGGGGATAGTAACGAATAAAACCGTTGTAACCGTTACTGAAGCCACAACAGCAGCTGTTGCTTCAAGCAGTGTTACACCGGCTGTTAAAGGTCAGGAAAATGATGATGATGATGATGATGAAACGGAAGAGGATGATGACGATGACGAATCGTTTAGAAGTCTTAAAGAATTAACGCCAATAGCCATAGTACCTAATGATAGAAGAGGTCGATCTCACAGACGGATGAGATTGTCTTCTTCAGATCCAGATGAAACGGCTATACATTTCATGAAGAAAGTATGACCACTATGAAAAATTATTGCTCATTGTTTACTCAACAAAAATCTACAGCGTTTCTTCAAGGACGCTTAGGTGTATATAAGTAATGTTAAAGTTAATTTATTTATTTATTGAAATGAATTTATTTGGAATAAAAAAATAATTATTCTATGAAAAATCGCATTGAAAGTACGTTATAAAACGCTCATTTATATTTATTATTTATTATTTCCTGTAGCTCATATTGATTGCGTTTATTACATACGTGTATATAAAATATATATTAATTAGTTTTTATAAAAGTATCATGTATCTTATTTTGTCTACAAATTTTCGTTCAATGTATTGTTATACTCCATAAGGTCTATATTTAAGTCTGGTACTGTCGAATCATACGATACCGTAGTTTGAGTTGTACTCGATGTGGATGTAGTTGAATTGAATTTTTGTATACTCACGCCGTCTCTACCAAATTGAATACAATCGAATTCTAGTACAAATATTTCGGCGTGTTCGATACGTGTGAGGAAATTGATGCACATGTGTAAGTTTTTGCCAGGCGTATAAATGTCAAACATTTTTATGCACATGTCAGTGGCAGGTATGTATGGCATAGGTATCTGTAAGCAAGCAGGAGGAGGATTTTTGGCTGTCAACATACAAGAAATATTCCAAGTTATCATTAAATATATTTATTACAGGACTCAGTAGTGTTTATGTATACAAAACGATTAACCAGTACTATAACAACAGGTTTAACGGTATTCCATCTGTACAGTAGATGACGTTTTTAAAATATATAATGGAAATGCTTCATTAATGAATTCATAGATACACTAAAACTTTCACTTTTATTAATAATTAGCTCTTCGTACAGCATAAAACAATACTATGTGGTGACTTGTGAATCTAATTGCGAATCAATGATGAGCGAACAAAAGAATTTTTGCTTGAAATTCATTAGAGTTCTCTATAATAATGGATAATACATAATGGCACACTAATTTGATGGTTAATGGATACTATGCATACACAATAATTTAATTTGCTGTACTTATTAAATATGTAATGGACTTTTTTTTGACAATCTTAATATTTTAGTTAATTTTTANTTGTGAATCTAATTGCGAATCAACGATGAGCGAGCAAAAGAATTTTTACTTGAAATTCACTAGAGTTCTCTATAATAATGGGTAATACATAATGGCACACTAATTTGATGGTTAATGAATACTAAACGGCATACACGATAATTTAATTTGCTATACTTATTAAATATGTAATGGACTTTTTTTTGACAATCTTAATATTTTAGTTAATTTTTTAATTTTTATGGGTAATTTATTACTGTTGATTTATATAGCAATTTCTATACTATTTTTTTATGAAATAATAGGAAAGTTAAATCTATAAAATATAGAACAGAATTAATTATTAGTATTATAGCTACTATGATTTTAAGACATATTCATAAGATTTCATTTAACATTTATACAAATTACCTAATTAATTTATGAAATAATTGATTGGCTTAAAACTTACCAGATACTTTGTATTCGTATAAAGATTCTTCGTCCATGAACATGTTCCCTTTAATGGCAAAATCCGTCGGGTCATAAGTAATGTTGAGACATCCTGTAGAGTATAAAATTTTATTCGAATATATTCAACGTATATTCATAGAAGTTTTGCACCATGACGGTGAAAAACTATTTTCCACGGGATTTAGTATTTTATAACCATAAAATTCATGAGTATTAATGAAAAAAAAAAGAAGAATATACCAAGGTTTACGACTCTGAGTACAAGACTATGTACAGAGTTAATAAAACCGAATTACAAGGGAAATATTTCTTCATACCCTTGTCACATTTAATTAGTAACGTTGTTCGCCAGAATTCGTTTGTAGTCCCTTATATATTATAATTAAATGTTTACTGACAGCCGTAATTCATACCACTAGTGGTGGTTATAATAACAAGTTGCATTTTATAAAAAGCATGTAGCAAAAGTAGTAAACTACTTTTTTCGTGGTGTTAAAAGGTAATGAAAATTTATGCCCAAACTGAGCTTTGTTAATAATAACAGTAAAAATTGAATTTTTTTAAACATTTTTGTTGAGTTTAGTAGTAATGATAATATTTTTTAATTAAAGTAAAGGCACTTTCAGTTTACAAACTAGTTTTAAATAATTTTTTTGGTTTCATAAAAAAATCTAATGTCTAACATAAGATATAATACAGTACATACAGATATACAGTTTATTCCTACTTTGTACAATTTAAAATATTCTATTATAACAACATGCTAAATAAGCTCTTTTTCATTTAAGATAATGACTATCAAAATCTTTAGTTGTGACAAAACAGTTATTTAAAGTAAAATAATTTGTTAATAACTAACACGATCGAGTAAAAAAAAGCAAAATTAAAAAATCGTGACGCTTCTTACACGTATAGATGAGTTAAATTTAATATAAAATTACACAAAACTGCCACTATTGCTCACTCCATTTTTATATTATGATCTTTTAACTAGAAGCAAGAAGTAGCTAAGAAGAAACCCACCCAACCACAAAAAAAAGGAAATTAATTTATTTCAAACATCACGTAGGTAAACTTACATTTCACAGAAGATTTATAAAGTTTAAAGTTAAGTATAAATGAGTACATAAATTAAATTAGGGATCAGAAAAATTAAGTGACCACTTAAATAAAATATTTCTTAAATAAATAAAATTAATAACGTTTGTACGAAGCTAACTAGCTTAGTCAAATATTTATGCTTGTGTGGTCAACACAAATAAAGATTTTTTTGTGAAAATAATGAACTATAGGAACTTGTGATTCCTATTTTACTCGAGGTATTTATTCACACGACTCATAGTCAACATAAGCTTAGATAAGTATTGGTATTAGTGGCGTTAAAGATACTTAAAGTATGATAATTTCTATTTAAAATTATTATTATATTAATACATTTTCATACATCACATTTTTGTTCTATATTTTATATTTTCTCATAAAACTCTTGTATATTTACCTCGAGAGAAAATTATATTATATCATTCTATTTAATAAATATATAGAAACTCAATCATCCTCATACCAAACAAATAACGTTTATATTTATTTTGAGTTACCATAGGTTCGTATAAAATATATAAAAAATAAATGAAAATAATTGAAACATAACAGAATGTTAAGTTACTTAAACTATTCAGTTAAAAATAATTTTGCTCAATATAATAATTTATTGAGCAAATTTATTTTTAACATACTCATATGAGTATGTTTGTATATTATAGTGTACGACACAACATATTAAATATCCAAAATGTTTTTTCAAGTGAATTTCAAGATAGGTTTTCAGATGAATACAATACTCACATTTTTAAAAATACACAGTATTCAAATTTTTGACATAATCAAACTTAAAAAATATGTTTTCATTATAATAATGATCCCTCTTCGTGCATAAATTAATTACATCCCTTTCTGTACCATAATTTTATGTACACTTTTACGGTTTATTATTTTTAATAGATTTTGAATATTTATTTTTATCAAGAGAAATGAAAAGTATAGAATTTGTTTTATGATTAAATATTAAATTTACTTAAGTTTTACACTTAGCAATCTCAATCATCTATTTATACAGAGGTGTATCCAGGAATTAGGGGCTAAATTTATATTGTTAATTAATAAAAATTTTTAAGTTTCATATTTATATAGTAACTAGTTTAAATAAAGGAAGTGTGCAACATAATCGTTAAAATAAATCAACAATAAATATATGTTTATAATCACAATGAGGTCTATTTAATTCATCTTTTGGCGATACTCAATTGAGTATCTGTTTATTTCCTCGGTGTTTCAAAGTGACTAGCAAGTAGCTTTGAAACATTAAAACAACAAAAAGTTTGTTAAATTAGTTTTTAATTATATTATAACTTCTGGAACGATATTTTCGATTTGTTCCGGAGCAAAACTAAAATATCGTTTCAAAACCCATAAATCAATTAAAAATTAATTAAAATTGTTTATTTTAATATGCTTTAAAAATGACTAATCTATTGCAATATCTAAACATGGCATCATAACAATCAAAACTGATAGCTATTTTATTCAAAATTTAATTTTTGAAAAAATAACATTTTCAAATCTTGATTTTTAAATAACTTAAATTTTCAATCTAAAATCTTATTTTTTATAAAAAAATTTTTTTAATTTTAAGAAGTCGATGATATATTATGAAAGTAACACTTTGAAATTTTATAGAGGTCTATGCTACCCGTTATCTTTACACCAAAGACTAATCACAATAACCCTTATGTCCAAATTTGAAAAAAGTTATTAGCAAAAGAAATAAATGGTTCAAAATTTAATGACCATTGTTTTTAACACTATTTTATAATATATTATTTTTATCGAATTTACCCTACCAAACTTTTCAGTAAACAATACAGAATTTTAAAATTTTACAAATTTATGACAATTTAATTTTTATAATCGTATTTTACAATAGCTCAAGATGATATTGTCCTAAGCTAAATTTAGCTATTTAAGATATTAATATTTAATCGTCATTTGACACAAGCTATAATAAATTATGAGTAATTAAAAATCTCAAAAAAAAATAAGAGGAAGCAAGTTAGTTTGTATTTCAAAGTAAAATTTGTTTCTTCATATCAATTATTATAGATTTTATAGTGAATTTTCTTCAAGTGGGTGGCATTACCCGTACCTCCCATAACTGTTATTTCAATGATGATGTCACCCTATTATTAATTTGCGCGTTTTTTGTATTGAATCATCACACAGTGTCAAATAAATTTGTTTACATTGATGTTTTTTTTTAATTAAAATGTTTATTTGTGTTTATATCTTTTTATGAGTGAAAATTATTTACTGAGACCAAACCTAGCCTGTTGAAGTTAAAGAGTCGTATATTAATTCTTGAGCAGCAACCACATATATAGTTTTGACAAGAACAGGGTATACGTCCAAACCTTAATGTATGAGGTTCTTCTTGTTGATCACCCAACTTTTGAAGCATAGGTATTTTTTTTCTAGTGATCATATCATAGTAAATATAGTTTTGTTTGGGTGCTGGTGTACCAACTAGAAAAATAAAATAATTAACGTTATTATCAATATAATTTTAAAAGTTAAAGTAGAGCTAGTTAAGGAAACTCAGTTTAATTCGTTAACTTTCATAGTTCACATGAAAAATTATAGTTACTCGTTTTTATGTCCAGTTTTGTTAATAAGATAAGAATAAAAACTTGATATTTATTAAAATAAAATTTATCACAAGATTTAGGTTAAAAATGGCATATTTACTTAAAAACTTATTTAATTTATTCTTTGAATTTGTTAATGATTTTTAATTTAAATTAAAATAACTTCCAAGAACACTTAAATATAATTATGACTATAGAAGTGTTAATGAAAATAGCATAAATCTCTTTTAACTTTATTTTTATTTATATAAACATTGTAGGAGAGAAAGCAATACCTAAATAGTAAACAAATTTTCCATAAGAACATCGTTTTACTGTTCTATTCTATTCTTTCTCACAGCACATAAAGAATTACTATTAACAATCGCGACTATAATTATTATTGTTTAAGAGTACAAAATGAACCATTATTTTATACTTGTATAAATTACAGTCATTCATCTTGTTTTAATTACATTTATCTAAAATACTGAAGCATTTTATTTATTTGAGGCATTCATTACATAGTGCGTTGAATTCATGATAAGGATTCGTAGTTATATATTACAGAATTTATTTAATTGGCATGTAATTTTTACTGTAAGTTTTGAACTTTATCTAAAAATAGAGTTTTTTTTCAAATAACTACAATAAAAGTTCTCATCATGTAACTTTTAATACACATTAATTTAAATAGAATATAATAAGATAATTATAAGAACAATTTTAATAAGTCGAGTCTATTCTTTACATAAACAGAAAGAGGGAAACTAAAGTAGATTTTTAACTTGAACATCAATATTTGAATTTCTGATTTGATAACAACGATATTCAAACAGCGTTAACATAAATTACTTCTCAAATTTGATTGATAAAAGACTATATTTTTCTTAAAAAATCGCTTAGAAGATTTAAAATGTATTTTTATTCATGCAATACAAGTGAGTTCATCATTTTATGTGTTAATACATGAATTTAATTATGATTTGTCGTTTCAATAATTTATAAATAATTTATCGTTATAAATTATAACGAAGAAACATTCTAAAGAAATTCTTTAATTTAATGTTATATAAAATAGATATATGGCTCTAACATTGTCATTGGAGAAAGTTGATAAAAAAATTTTAAATTAAAAGCTGTTGTCTGTGCAATAGAACCTAAATTAATTATTGAATCGTTGATTTGTGTGTAGTTATTTTTACTACGTGAGCTGTAAAATTACGTATTGTTGTTTAAAAACTGATTGATGAAAAAATCTCTTTTATGTGAAACCTGGATTTTTTAAGAAATATAAAAAACTATTTTAAATACTAATTATGATTACGTAAGTACATCAATTAAATTTATATTAATATTATTAATTTCATCTTTAAGTGTTTTCTACAACAAATTATAAGTATTAAACAAAAAATTGAAGTTCATTACCCTTTTTATACATCTATGTTCAATAATAAAACATGAGTAACAGAAAAATAATCAAAATATTAAAAATAATTGCATTATATATACCTTATAGACTTAAATATATTATTTCTTATTATATTATTAAATACAACACGACAATTGTTATGCATGTGTAGATAATTACAAATTAGATCATCAAAGTTCAATATACTTAACTGAAGCTATTGCAATAGCAAAGTCATTTGAAAATACGTTGGAAAAAACTTTAAAGATATAATATGGAGTAATTAAACATACTCAGCAACATACAAAATCTACATCAAATTTTTGATATGGTAAAAATAATTCTTATTTTCCAAATTTTCGAAAAATATATCAGCGTAATATTTATCTGTATTGTAGGCTATTATCACATAAACGAGGATGAAGAAACAGACACAAATGCATATATTGTTTCAGTAACTACAGCAAGTGAAACTATATCTTACATATCTCTGCAAAAACTATAAAAGATAATTAAATAAAAATATGAAATAGTTTGGCATAAACATTGGATTAAATTGAATACTAAACAATATAAAAAAAATTAGACTGAGTAGAAAATTCGAAACAGTTTTAAATAAACTTAGTTTTGGACACACAAGGCTATGGATTCCTTATGGCAGAATAGGACTCTCCTATCTACATTATATTCGAATATATAAATACACATAACAATAACAATACATTATATCATGAAAGATTGTAGGCAATATCTAGAAGATCGTTAAAAAAAATAATTTCTCAACTCTTACTAAAGAATCGGCTCAGACCACAAACAATAGGAAAATTTCTTAACATTTTAATAGTTACTAACAAAATATCATTGCATATAAATTGACAATATAATTTGTTACTTATATGTTTGTAAATTTAAAATTGTAAAATATTTGTCGAGCAATAATCTTTGTTGTCACGGCCTTATTCTCAATAAACAATAAAAAATAAATATTATGTCATATAAATATACTAATTTTTTAATAGTTAACTATCAAAAAATTAGTATAGTAAGAGTATTTATTTCAAATACAATTTTAATTTTAGCATGGGTGAATCGGTGATTTTTTACTAACGGAAAATATAAAATGGTGTTTTTTTATATAAAAAAAAATCTGCTCGCTACGATTGTGATTTATTGTAGATATATTTAATTGAAATAAATATAAAAACAATTTTTTTTTAACCAATTTTAGAATAATAACATATTTTCAAGAAATTTACGTTTAGTACCTTATAATATCTTGAAAATCAATGTTTACGAACAGATCATTTTCAACGTTCTTAAACATTAATATTTGATTATTGATTATTTAAAAACGCAAAAGAAAAGTTTGGAACCCAGATATAATATAAATGATAGTTAGGTCGAAGAGCCCATCGGTAAAATCCTGGTTTCTTGGTGGGCTTATAAGCTTCTAAATTTTAGTATTTATTGCTTTTTAATAAATGATTTACTTACTTTTTGATTTCAATTTTTTTATTAAACTACAGTTCACAAATAATGAGGGTAATATTAATAAAAATAAAATTACTGAGTTGCATAATTTAACCATTATATTTTCCTTGTTTTCTATTGCACTTAAACAAATTTATGTATTTGCAAAAAAAAAAAAATAGTCGCTACTGATCTACTCGAAGCACTCTGGAAACAATGCATATAATTATCATGCTAATACACCTCTTAACTTAGTAGGGGTTAGCATTTGACTTTCTGTGGGTTTTTATCGCTTCATTTACATTTTATGTCCTCAAAAAACAATACACACGTGCTTATTGATTCTTACACGTCATACATATTCAAAGTTTTTAGTTATATTTGTTTTTTATATACTTTAAGTGTGTTACTATATAATCACAGTGAAAATACATATAAATGAATATTTACTTTTTTAATTTTCCATATCTTGTCTCATAATTGTTTACTGGAAATACGCAAGAAATTAATATAAATTTAACAGAAATTAGTAAAACAATTATTTTTTTAAGTTATCTTAAGTAAATGTTTCTTCTAGCGTGTTATTTGTACAAACGATAGTGTTAACAGGGAACACTATTAGCATATTTATTTGGTTACAAATAAATGTGCTAATATTTACAATTCTACAACCTTACTATTGTAATCAAAGTAAAATTTAATTTCATAAAATTATAAATTAAGTAAATGTTATTAAATCATGCAAAATTATATAATTTATAACGTCGGATATTATAAATAAAAAACTTTAAAGGTATAAGAGTTACCATACTCGAAATGCTTTCAATGAATTTTTGAAATTATGCAGTTTTATGTTTGTCACATCAACCACTATCCTTTGTGACATATATTGAAGTTCTTTTTATCTTTTTATGCTACACAAGCCAATAGTTTTTTAAAATGCCTTCTATATAGCTACTTCGTTAATATTAATTTAAATTTATATTTTATTGAAGTCTTTAAAATATTTACAGTCTACTGTATTTTAAATAAACTTACAATTATTTTTTTCATAAATAATATTAAATATTTTACATAATTTTTAATAATTTACAATATTAAAGAAAATAAATTTAAAATAAAATAATAGTATATAACACATATTCAGTAGTCGAAGTGAAATAATTAGAGGGTTACCCTTTATTGTTTAAAACACCAATATAAATCCATAAACTTAAAGCACATTGTAAAATATTAAGGAGGGTAAATTAATTTGGACAAAATAAATAGAGGAATGAAAAATGTAAATTAAAAAAAGTAGAGGGGTACCATTCTTTCACATATTCCCACTTCAACTACTGCACATAGTTCATAAATATAATAACAGTTAAAGTACTTTTGTTTTTAATTGGCGTTTAACTTTATTACCAAAGTTCTATTTAAGTAGGATAAAAAAAATATTAAATTAGTAAATAATTATTCTCAACTTCAAAGTAAAATATTTATATAAAAAAATGAAAAAGAATTATGGTTAGATTTTAAATAAGTAGTTTAATTTTGATAAAAAAAATTAATTGAATATATGAATCATTAACGTGCTATAAACGAAGTATTAATAATCAATTGAGTTATAGAAAAATGTTCCTAGTACCAAGCCCAATAAATCGAAATTAAATAAATAAATATATATATATATATACTATATTAGCCTATATATTATATAGGCTAATAAAAAGAAAAATAAAGAAGAAAATGTAAATTTTGTTGAAAAATTACTTAATGAGAAATCCATACGTCTTTGGTAATTAAAATTTTTTTTATAGTAAATATGTACTTTTAAAAATTTAGATTAGAGTAACTTTTTGAAGTTCTTCTTTTTTCTTTTTCATTGTATTTGTTGAATTTGGTTTTGCTGTGATTGTTGATGAAATAGTATTTTCTGTAGCTAATTCTTCTGGAGCGGGAGGAGGTAAACCTCCTCCTTCTTCTGGTTTCAGTAACGCTACACCTTCTGTACCCAATCTTATACAATTAAATTCAACTGAAAACGTAGGTCTTTGATTTGTTTGTGTTTCCATGCCCAAACACATATGTATATTACGCCCAATAAAATATATATCACTAAATTTTAAACAAACTCTACTTCGAGTCCACACTGGGAATATTGGTACACATAGAGGTCTCGGATTTCTTCCTAAAAGCATACAGTTGTTGATAAAATAATATTGTATGATTTAAAAAGTTATTCTTAAAGTATACCCCTAGAAAAAATTATTATTAAAATAAACTTGATATTTATTATAGTTTATAAAAATAAATCAAATTGAAATTTGTATATTTTTATAAACATTTTTTGATTTCATTTTCACCATAGGAACAAAAAAAAAAGTCCGAATTTTTTTAAAGCTTTAATTTAAGGTATATATAAAAGTGTCATTATTTCCTGAACACTTTTAAAAGTCATTTTTTTGTGAAAAAGTAGTCATTTTGAATCCCCCCTATGGGTAAGTAGAGGGTCAGATTTATAAAAAAAATATAAAAAATTATAAGTAATTATCTCGTGTATCTTTAAAAAAATATATATTGGTTTGGTAATTTTTAAAAAAGTTATGGCAATATTAAGTAAAAAAAATTGAACAAATTTCGAAAATTAAAATTGTAATTTTTTTGGAGATTATCCCATTTAGGGAGAACGAGAGAAATTTTTTCAATTTTTAAGGGTAATGTCTTCGACTAGATTCGATTTGTGATCTTTTGACGTATCGTTAAAAGAAATCGGTTCGGTGAGAGCTGAGAAAAAGTGGTAACAGTCCCCACAAAAAAAAAAAAAATAATAATAAATAAAAAACCATTCATAGTATAATTATACCTTCTCAGCTTTGCATTGAAGCTAAAATATGTGGTGATATTAAAAAGTTATTTTTATATTAGCTTTTTACAGAAATATCTTAGATATGATATTAGTGTACTATATGTGAGTCACTAGACAACTCACCTTAATAAAGCCCAGTAGTTATATGTATATGATATTAAATTATTTAATTTATAATTCAACAAAACCCTCCTAAATCAGTAAGAGTAGTGTTATTCATAATTTGAATCTATTATGATTTGAAATAATTACAAAATTTGTAATTTGCATTACTATAAAGACGTTTAAAAGAGTTAAAAAAATAATTTAAAATCACAATTAAAGTTTAATCATTGCTAATTTCCCGTAGATTTGTTATACCTGATACAACTCGATTAAATAACGTATAGTCATTAAACAGCAAACGCACATTAAATTCAAATTCTTCGGAATCGTAAGATATTTGAGCACATAATTTTTGCTGCAAGTTTATGTTAATATTTTGCAATAAGTTTCCGCTACAACATGTACATTTACCTTCTTTACATTGGCACGGATATATAGCCTGTCTGCTTTGCCTACCTATAAAAATACTAAAATTAACTTAACCGGTAAGTTGTTTATTTTTATGTAAATATAATTGATAATATTAATTATTTAAATAAAAAATTGACTAATATACTAGAAACTTACTCATTTCATTTATATCAAGTGTTTTTGTAATATTGTCATTTGAATCATATCCTGAAACCCATCCAAGTAAAGTAAAAAAACATATAACCGAAAAGATTTTATTAGCCATGTTTGTGATTGTCTATTGACTGAGTACCAGTTATTAATGAAATTATACAAATTCAATTTATCGTAGTATGGATGCAGATTCAATTTCACTTAACTATCTTATGTGATGGTAAATGTAAATAAGATTTCTCCGTATATTTACTCTATCTATATATAACCTAGTGGATATACATTTGAGAACTGGAGGGGATAGCAAATAATCATATTCAATCAAGCTAATTAATTTTTTCAGTCAAAGATAAAAAAAAAATTAGAGGGAGTGAAGGGAAGTTTATTAATGATTAAGAGTACGCGTTAAAGTTCAAAAATCAATGCTCTACTTCCTGAAAATATTGAATAATAATATATCGAATTTTAATATTTAGCTTTTGCAAATTTAACAACTAACTAATATTATTATTAATATTAAATTTTTTTGTTTGAGCTCAAAGAAAGTTAATATATCCAGAAAAAGGTCATTTTAACGAAAAATCTCAAGTTTGTTAACATTAAGGGAAATCTTACTTGAAGAATTTAACAAATCGATGAATTTAATTATGACATTCTGAATGGATATTGAAAACTGTACTTAGATTTAAATAATTATAGCATTTATACACTTAAACATAATACTTTTTGAAAGAAATATATATTATTAAAAAATATGTTTTTGTTGTGAATAATCGATCAATTTTTAATTAAATTCTACTTAATGTTTTGTTTTTTTATGTAAATTATTTTAATACTATATAGATAATTTAAAATAAAATATCTGTGATATAATATATAAAAATAAAGTAAAATGTTGTGCTAAATTACGTGCTCGCATGTTGGACATATTTTTTTAAACAAGTTTCTTTTATTTTTTTACACCCATAATTTGAGAATAACTAAAAGGTAATGCAAACTAACATCAATATAGTTCTCATAAGTAGTTAGTGGCGTTCAAATAGGAGGGTATTAGAGGATAAATCCACTCTCATTGAAATATCTATCTCAACATTTTTGTATAATTTTTATAAAAATGGCAATATTTTGAAACTCTATATGTATAATACTTAAATTTAATTATTTATTAAATATAACTAATATGAAAAACTTTATCTTACAAATTTTAAAGATTGAACTTTAAATCTTGTTGGTTCAATGCATTACTATTATATAATATATTAAAGATTTGGAATAGGCTTATTTAAACAAAGTCATTTATATAAATCTAATAGTCCTCAGTAATACACTGATTTAGTAATACAAATAGAAATAATGTAGAGATATTGAATCACAGTTCCCACAAAATTTTTTATCATAAAGATTTTTTGTCCTCCAATGGCAAAATCTTGACCGCCACTGTAGATAGTTATGTTATCATTTTATAAAGATTTGAATTTAAAAAGTTTTATTTACAATCAGCCATTTCGTTTTTTTTTTGCCTTCTTTGATTACTATTTACTAAATTGATTAGTTTATATTTTTTTTGTTTTATTTTATTAAGATTCTCAAATAATTCAATCATTATTAAGTTGTTTAATTAAATCTATTAAATCATATCTAAAATATAATATCATATCATATCTGTTTAGGTTGATATAAAATGATTCAACTTATTTTCATTTGCAGGGGCGTATCCATATATTTTTTGCCTATAGGCATTTAAACATTTGCCACCCTTCATAACATTATGAAGGAAGGGTCTCATTTTTATGTATATTTTTTGCCATAACACTACTAATTCTTCCTCAAAAAAATATTTTTCAAGCAAATCTATGTTTATTAATAAATCATAAAATAAATTGCTTGTAGCTATTAATATACATATCATAAATACGCAATAAATGAAAACGATTATGATAATTATTAGAAATAATTATTATAACTCGCTTTTTATAAATTTGTTGCCCTTCAATATTTGTCGCCCTTTAAAATATGCCGCTGTAGGCAGTTGCCTAAATTGCCTGCATATAAATACGCCGCTGTTCATTTGTTAACATATAATATGATCGATTATATATTTAATTGTTTGATAAAACTATGGCTAATATGACCAAAAATTGGTTACAATGAAAACAATGTATAGAAAGGCACTATTTTCTTAAAAAAAAAAACAAAATATTTTTTAGCTATAAAATTACCTATATCAATAATATACAAATGTCCCTATTAAATAAACTATTCAGAGCTAAATGTCTCTTAATTGAATTTAGTTCTTACTTTTTTAATTGAATACTACAATATAAGTTTGTTATTAGATAATTTCATAATAGTGTTGGGTTAAAGTAAATTTTTATGACTTATGATTTTTATATTTATTTATGTTAGACATGTGCGAAAATAATCTAGTACCTACTAAAAAATCAATAATTAACAATCATATTAATTGATATTATTAAAAAATGTTGCACAATTTAAATAGAATAGCCGTAAAAAAAGATTAATTTGTTTTATCTTCGGCCATAAAAAAAGAGAAAAGAAATTGCAATAAAATAACAATTCATTCTGTGATAATTGAAATAAAATAGAATGAAAATATCTATATCTATGAACATACATTTAAGATAATTAAATAAAAACTAATATTACATTTATTATGAATATTAAAAAATTTAGTTAAAATAAAAATTTGTACAGTTAATTATGTTCAAAAAATGTTAAGAAAAGTAAATTATTAGTTTTTACTTTAATCTAATTACTTAAAAATAAGATTTATGGTTTTTTAAATTACAATTACTTTCATTAAGTATAAGTCGTTTTCAACAGGTAGTGAAATAATAATGAATATTAAGAGGTTTTAGATAATTAACATACAAATTGCAAAAGATTATACAAAAAAATATATAAAATGGAAAGTTTAGCAAAAGTTTTAAGAGACCGGAATAAGTATTTATCTAAACTGCGTTTAATGTTTTGAATGAGAATAAATTTTACTTTACTTGAAAGTTTGTTTAAAAAAATAATAGAATAAATTTGCTTATATTAGAACTCGCTGTTCTATGTTAATCCGAACTTAAATGATTTTCTATAAGGGTTGAAAGTTTTGTCATTAGTATCAATGAATGTTATTTAATTGTAATTTGATGTGACGAATTATTCAAAATTCAATCAATCATAGTAAAAAAAAAGCAACAATTTAATGGATGATAGGACGTTTGACTTTTCATGTTGGTAATAAATTTTCTATTGATACTACGTGAAATTTTATTTTTAATTAGCTCATTATTAGGTATTTTTAAAAATGCATACTAGGCGCCAATCTTGTGAAAAAATTCTGGTTCTATATTCTACTTATTGCGTTAGAATCCTGTGCAATAGTGAAATAAAGTAACAATATTATATAAATTTAAATGTATTAATTATTCTAATTAAATTAATTGCATAGCATTTATTACATATGTTTTTAGAAAATTTTACTTTTGCTTTTATAACATTAGTGATCATTAGAGAGATGTTCGAGAAATAAAAAAATGTCTTATACATAATTGAATCGATTTAAAAAAAACAACATATTTTTAATATTTTATGTTGTTTAAGAGATAAATGAAAAATAAAAAAAATCGATTAGATTTAAAACTAATCGAAATTATTTACAAGATTGTGAACAACAAAGCTTCTAGCTAAAATCGTACTTGCTTTTACATAACTATATGTATACAAAGCTATAGAATAACAGCCATGTACATGTACGTCGTACAATCAAGAAAAATGAGCGAGTGAACGATAGAAACGTCTTCAAAGGGATTTTACTTTAAAGGGGTTTGGTTTTGAAATATTTTCATTAACGAGTTCTTTGGTAATACATTTGACAAGAGTAAATGAAGTGTTTAAAATACTATAAATATGTTTTATAGTTACAATATAAAGACTTAACTGACAACGCTTATAACTTATGACAAATTTATCATTTTGTTGATTTTTTTTATTAAACCTTCTCAGACTACGTTTAAAGCATATTTTTTTAACTTTCACTTATTAGAAAAAAATTATTACATTTTTTTTTAATTTCAAAGTTTATTCATTTTTTAATCTTTTTTCACAATAGAATTGGTTGGATCGAAAAAAATTTAGCATAAGTACTTAACAAGTTACAAGGATTTCAACACGTAGAGAGTGTATAGAACTTAGGGGACTATATATACACCAGGACGGGCTGCACCCAACTGTGCTACATTATAGCTTCGATGCGAAACTGAGAAGGTATTAATTATACCATGATGTGTTTTTTTCGGGGTCTGTAACCACTTTTTCTTTTCAACGATTTCTTTCAACGATACATCAAAGTTCACAAATCATGTCTAGTCGAAGACATTTTCCTCAAAAATTGAAAAAATTTCATTAGTTCCCTGTACTGTTTTTTTTTTTAAATCAATTTTTATAATATAGAACTACATTTCAAATATTTTTTATGTTATTTTTCATAATTACATATTCACAAATATGAGTTGTCAGTTAGATCTGTTTATTCTGTATATATTTATTTATTTATTCACATATTACTTATAAATCATAAAACTTGTAATCAGAATATAAATAAGGAAATAGGAGATCATGTAGCTTTTGGAATAATGTATTAAGTTTTTAAAATTAAACATTACCTACATATTTGCATCGAAATGTTTCTTATGATTGTGATTTTAATCACTGTCAGATATCATCTATAGTGGACCAACTATGCCACGTCCCTACTGTGCCGCTACCTCATTGTGCTGCGTTTTTTTTTTTTATTAGTGATAAAAAAAATTAAAATATGTTATGAACGTAGTCTAAGAAGGTAATGTTTATAAAAAAAAAAAAATTAACGAAATGATAATTGTATCAAAAAATATAACCGCTAGTAGTTAGATCTGAGACACCTGTATATGCACAAGTACTCTAAATTGTAGTGAATTATAGCTATAGGTTTTTTTAATTAACTTTTACATTTTTCACGGAATCGAATATTTTTATTGCTTTTTTAATTTTTGTGAGTTATATTAAAAGTATTTTATTTTTACCTAGATAATACAAAAATAATTTTATTATAAATTTTTATATTTGGGGATAAGAAATTATTGAGTTACGAGCATTTTAATAAATAAACTGGGTATGTTTTAAAGTATAATTTGAGTTAATTTTATATAGTCACTTATGTCCTTTTATCGGTATAAAATAAAATACC